ATCTGATTAAAGCATAAATCTTGTTGGGATCAAGAGCCAAGTGATCAAGGCCCTAAGGCTCATGGGAGGTGGGGGAGGGGAGAGAGACAGCTTACCTGCCCCTACTGCTCCAGCAAGTATCCCCCACCCAAAAAAAGCTCCCTTGAATGTTAAACTTACAAACATAAGTACCTATAAATTAAAAAAAAGTTTTTTTTGAACTCTCTTCTTTTCTTAAATTATCATAAAGGGTGGGTTACAGACTCGGGTCTTTAAATGGTTACAAGTCAAGATCTGTCTGAAAAGTAAACTCAGCTTTAAAACAGCCAAGGGCAGACATTTCGTTCATTAAGAATGGGCTGAATACTTTCTGATTCAAAATAATTCCAACTGTTTGGCAATCAAAACAAACCTTAAAAATATTTTCCACACTGAAGACTGTCTTGGATTTAGCCATTCTGACTTTTCTAGAACACATCTGATGGAGGACCTAAGGAGAGTTGGCCCTTTATTCAGCTTTTTTTTTGGTTGTTTGTTCTATAGCCAAACAATCAGAATCATTAATGCAGAGTCAAAGGATGACATTACCCAAGATAAAAACGTTATTTCCAGGATCAGTCTTCAAAGTTTAAAACTTTCCAAAATGGTTTATGGCATGAGATTTATAACTCGGACTTACTCGGACTTGCACAGTAAAAGCCATCCCTCCTAGCATCCGCCTGCCTCCTGCAATTTACAAAGACTGCCTCAGAGTTCAAAGGTGGTTCTTTGAAACCACCTTCCCAATCTGACCACACTATAGTTTAAATATGCCCAAAGGATATTAAAAGTTGGTCTATCTATCTGCCTACCTAGCTACCTATTCATCCATCCTTCTATATTTACATAAGAATTTTCATAGGAAATGGGCCTAAAAGTACTGTGGTATAGATGATCAAAAACACATTATCCATATTTTTTAGTCATGTTGTTATCTCGAATGGAATTTAACAATATGTGAGCTAGAATACAGCTTTGAGTTGATCCGGGGGCTGGCAAGGACTGTGATATGTGGGGACATGTTGCAAACACAATGGAGGGAATCCCACAATGTTGGGGTCCCTGTGGACAAGGCCCAGAGGACCCAGTCAGTGGTGCTTTCACCACTGGCGGCAGCCCAGGCACCCACCTGTGACCACTCAGATGCCTCCCAGATGGACAGGCAGTCCTGGCCTTCACAGCTCTGCACTGGCGCTGGCCGGGGGCCCGGGCAATAGAGGGGCCGTGTGGCGACGTGTGTGCCATTCTGTAGCTGGTACATACAGGTCACCTCCCGATGCTGAATGCCCTTCTCACAGGTCGCTGAGCAGGGGCTCCATGGGCCAGCCATCCACCTGCCAAGAAGAAAGACAATGAGAGGATAACTGGATGGAGAGGCCATCTTAATGGAATCTCAGGCCTATAGTGCAAGGGGGCAGACAGATGTAGGAAGCTTTGCAATCAACTTTGGAAATAATTCCAGGGCATCAGAGCAGAGGGAGCAGGCTGAGTTGAGTTGTTCAATGGCCTACTCAATACAGAAATATTTCTGCGCACAACATATGAAATTATTGTTCCCAATGGGTCACCCTCCACCCTCCTTGTAGCGGGATTACGTTTCCCACCCGTTGCCTTGTGACAAGCTCTGTTCAATAGGGTGTGAGTGGACCTGAAGCCGGCCATGTCCAGCAGAAGCTCTGAGTGCGAGTATGGGTTTGGCTCTGCCTCTCTCGGTCTCCTGCCCCTGCCAGGAGAGCAGTAGGTCCCAATGCGGGGACGCTCTCTGTAACGACACAACACTGCTGTGAGCCACTGACACTGTAGGCCTGTTTGTCACTGAAACAAAAGCTGACTGCTACAGCCCTCAACAAAAGCACCCCAGGGCCCACCTGAACACACCAGGACCAGGTACTTGCTGCTTTCCAAAGAGGGGAGTGCCCTCCTGAGTGAGGACCATCACTGTTGAGAAGGCAACTTGTGGGCTGTGGGAAGACCAAGCTGTTGAGGCTGTCGGCTGTCGGTTTGAAAGCGTTCCACTAAAACATCACTTATCTGCCTAATACTTGCACGACCACAATTCTCTCTGAGTCTCTGTTGGCCTCAGGGTGTTGGAAGGAAGCTGAGAAGACACTAGCACTCTCTCCTACTCTGGTCCCTGCATGAGCCTCAAACACGCCTAGCTCCCAGGAGCTCACCACTCGACAAACCGGCTCAGTCCAGATGGTCAGCTCTGATAACCATTCAATTCTTCCTCATCAGTCAAAACGGTCCCAAGTTTCACCTGCAGCCAAATCTGATCATGCCATTCCACTGTTTAGAAACGTCTGAGGTGTCCTCCCACTGGGGGGTTCCTTTAAGGGGACACCGATGGCGCCAACCTCCTCTCCCTCTCCAGTTCCAACTCATTCACCCATCCAGACATGGCTTATTCAGTGAGGGCTTCCCACGTGCCAGGCACTGTTCTAGGTTCTCATGATGAGGCAGTGACCAAAACAAAGCCCTCCCTCTGCCTCTTACCATTCTAACAGGCACAGATAGTACATCAATGAACAATAGATACAGGATATAACATAATATAATAGAGCACACAGAACCAGCCAGCGGATCAGTGTCCGAGGCTCGCTGCCCAGGCAGGGGTGAATACAGAGCTGTGGGGGCCATCGGAGACACGTATGGGACATCATGCTGATATGCTGAACGTCAGAGTAAAATGCCATTCATTCCATGTCCAGTAATTGGGAAGGGAACTACAGTTCCCTAAAACCATTTTACTACGATTACAACTTAAGCCTCATTTTGTTTTTTTCACCTATGCCCCCTAAAACAACCTTAAGAGTGATCTTTATTAGCCAAGTTTGATTTAGCAGCTCTTCTTAAAGGCAATAAAACTGTAATTCTTGAGGAAGCCACCGTTAACACTTCCCTAATTCGGGACCCCCGTCCCCTTTCCTCTGGAGTCAAGGGCCTTGACTCCTTTCCTCTCCATCACAGACTCAGGTTCTCTGCACACACTTGGANAGTTTGGAAAGAAAATGAATCTGCCTGGTTAGACTGGGACCGCCTCCTTGACTTGAGGCCCATGGGGAGAGCCTAGGCCACCGGGCAGGACGGAGGCACGGGCACGCCGGACTTACCTTGGACCAGTCCCCGGTTTTCCACTCATAGCAGCCGGAATAGTCTTCGCACGTCTCCTCGGCTTTCGGCCTCGTGGACGCATCACATTTTCCCTGTGAGTTGGTGCATGTCACAGTTCGCTTCTGGGTCCCTTGACCACAGTTGGCGGAACACTGCAAGACACCGTGTGAATATTAAATCCAGTCCAATTCAGCTCAAGTCCCTCAACACCTAGTAAGTCCCTACGCAGTGCCAGACCCAGAGCTGAGGATGTGAGGACGAGGGTGCCATGTTTGTCGTTAAGGCCTCTTGGTTTGCTAGAGCCTTCTGCACAGGGTCCCAGCTGGGACTCCCGCCAAGTGGCAGGTGATGGGGGAGGGTCACAGGAGTCAGGAGTGGGCAGAACTCAGAGTACCCGGGAGGTCAAGGTAGGGGAGTGGAATTTAGGTCCAAAGACCAATGCCGCAGGTGAGTTCAAGGGCAAATGCTGGTGGGTCTATGGGAACAGGAAGAGGACCAGGTGGACAGGTGAGGACACTGAAGCAGAAGAGTCTCAGGCCCCGGCTCCTCCCAGCTGGCCTCTAGGTACGCAGCCTGTGCCAGGGCCAGGCTGGGGCAAAGGCGCCTGTTCCGGGTGGAAAAGGGAAGAAGCAAAGCAACACCATATGTGACTCTCACACAAAGGCAGCTGGGGAGCCCAGTCAGGGAGCTTCAATGACGATTTTAATGTGGCCACCAAGGATGGTCACAGAGCAATGTTCCCTGCAGTATGTCACTTCCTGGAAGACATGGCGAGGGGAGGGGACCTGGGTAGGGACTGAAGGGTGATGGATGATGTGCCAGCCCTGAGAGTTCAAGGTGCCCACGCCCTCCCGCTGAACTGACACGTCGGGAAGCCCTGTCCTCACAGTGGAAGCAACCATGGAACTCATGGAGATGGTGGGCTGAAGGCTGCAGTCTGCCAAGCTGTGCAGACACCGTGAGATGCACGCAGGCCGCCCGAGAGAGTCTGAGGGCGATTTCCTCCAAGCGGCTGCGTCCCAGTGCTATCATGGGGAGTGCTCAGGGCCCAAGGGGCACAAATGGAACCCCAACACCTTTAACTTCCGTTTTCATACTTGCTTCATTGACCTAAAACACGGGTGGCTACAGCAGTGAGTACTTTTTCAGCTATAACAACCTTGACTTCTGAAAAAATGCATAGAAAGGACAAATGTTATTCTTGATATTTCTTGATAATTAACATTTATCCCAAAATGTTATCTAGCTTTATTTTTCTTATAAATTTAATTTAGCTCTCTGTCTGAAGGTCCTACTAGGTTTCTCTCTCTCTCTCTCTCTCTCTCTCTCCCCCCTCCATCTCTCCCATCTCTCTCCTTCGCCCTCTCCCTCTCTCCTTCCTTTCTCCTCCCTCTCTTTCTTGAGGCTAATTCAGACTGGCTTGTTTTAGAACAAATATACCTACTTCAGAACTGGCTGTGGTGTCACCTGGGGGAGCTGGGAGAGCACACGTATTTGATCCTGAGTGCGGAGTGAGGGTCAGGTTTAATGGGACCTCAGATACAAGGTCAGCCTATGGCAGGCTTTGGCCACAGGACTGCCTGGGCAGGCTGGGTGGGGGCCAGGAGGGCTGCTGGGAGCCCTGGGTTACGATGTGGAAGGGTAATCCCCTGCTTCTCTGTGTGGTAATGCTCCTGGACCATTTCCTCAGCTCTGTCCTCATCATGACTCATGGGCATCTCCCTAATACCAATGCTCACACCACTGGCTCTTTTCAGTGATGAGCCTCCTCACCACTTCTGCCTGAGTGTCTGCTTTGTCTGACTCTATTCTGCATTCCTTGTCCCTTATCCTTGAATTTCAAACATGGAATGTCTAGCCTATTTCTTGATCACACCATGGCTGGGTCCTTTTGACCAGCAGCCCATGGGCCTGGGTGGCCTCGGACTGGACCTACGAGGATGATGTTTAGTTTCTCTGTTGGCTTCTGCTTGGAAGCCGAGGGGAGGGGACAGTCACCACCTTTTGCTTCCTTCTTGATATTTGCTCTTCATTCTAACAAANGCCCTCCTCGGGGGCCCCACTCCTCCACAGCCACTGGGCCTCTGAGCAGGGAGGAACCAGATCTGTCATCACACAGAGGCCCGACCCTAAGGACAGGCTCCACCACGGTGGTGAGGATGCCCGTCTCCTCCCTTCTCCCAGCTGTAAAATCACGACTCTAAATAACACCAGATCCCAAAGGGATGTTTGGAGAATATGCGAAAGGAGGTTGTAAAAATCTCGGGAAGAGGAAAATGCTACGGGGCCCAGGCGGGACCCCTCCACAGGCTCTGGAGTGAGCAGGGGACCAAGTTGGGGTGACGCGGTGTGAGGACCAGCCCTTACTGTGCAGTGTGACGGCCCCGTGCTCTCTCTCTGAGCCCTTCTGAGGGGCCAGCCTGCCTCAGGCAGGTCTGGGTAACAGAATGAGAGAGACAGCAGGGTGGGGGGCGGGGAGAGAACACTCCTACAGTAACTCCATTTTCTGCTTGTGTCCGAAAGGCACTTGGCTGGTGAAATAGCCAAAGCTCTTCAAAAGCATTTTTAATGAATTTCCCTGACTTGGCATAAGCAATGCAAACCTCAGAAGCTGTCGAGACCTGAAATAGCAGGTTTAAACAATAGTGAAAATCCCCACTGTCTACGCTCCAGCCTTGAACCTGGAAATGCTTTTTTAAACACACACACACACACACACACACACACACACACACACACACACACACAGCCACAGACGTGCACACACCCCTCCCTCTTCATCTCATGCTCCCTTTCAAGCTGCTTTTCCTTCTTGTCCTCAGCCATGGCTTCAGGCTTCCCCTCATCTCTCTGAATTTGCAGCCTGCTGACCTAGAGAGTCTGGTGAGGACATTATAGCTGAGGTGACCCCCGATGACTTGGGCTGCTTATCCCAAGAGCTCTTGACTCTGGTGGGCGAGCCTGGAGCTTGGAGCACGGAGACTGCAGGGGCCGCTCTTACTGACTGTCCAGTTTGGTAACTTGGTCATCCCATCAGCGGCTGTCTCAAAGGCCCTCCACCCCTCTCAGAGCCTCACGGAGGAGCCTCGATTCCCAGGGGTTATGACCCTGGCTGGAGGGCCTGGTGCCGGGAGGCGCAGGGTACACAGCAAAGAGGAAACAAGGCCAGGTGACCCCAGACCTGAACTGACCACACCTCACCTCTGCTTCCTGCCCAAGG